ACACAAAAGCAACATTTGAAGATCTCTGTTGAGGACGTTAGATCCCTAGTATACAACTGATAAAGGTCCTAACTTTGATTTTATATTTTCTAACATATGATAATCAGTTGACCTTGAGATCACATTTCCCACCAGGAGAATCCTTTGTTATCATTGGCTGATGCATTATTTTCGTGCGCTATTTTTGCGGCTCTTCCAGGAACGTTTCTATCTTGTGAACCTCAATTTTTTGAGTGCTTGTAGAATACACTTTCTACGCCATATTAAAACTTCTTCCTATACGTAGTAGGGCCTTGGGACGCTCGCATTGGAGTAGCTCATCATGTCACTGGATAATTTGTCTTCGCACGCGTTTAACAAGTAAGGTGAATTCGTAAAAGTTTCAAGCATATCTTTTAACGAGCATAACGGTCAAACAAATGGTAGCCCGCATATATGGGTTTGACAAGTTCAGATCTATTGAGAATTTATTGTATTAAAATTATTCGGCCTTGTTTCCTTTTCACCACTTAAACTTGTATTCATTTACTTCGTTTATATATTTGTTTTCTGTGAAGAAGTGACTTGCGTCGAGTCACTGAACGCTGGATATACAAAGTTATGCAGACTGAGATAGCTTCAAAACTATTAATCTTAATTTTGCAATCGAATCTCAATTTATTTGAGACTATCATATACAACGTTGGTATTGGTGCCTACAAGAGCAGTAATGTAGAATCTTTTCAATCTAAGACGGCTTAATCAAAAGATAATTGGTATGTTTAACAAAATCATCAAGCAAGTGGTAAATCTCTCTAAATAATGACTATTTCCTACCCGATTATGAATGATGAACGAATAAATCAGATTGTTTGCAATCTGTATCGATCCTCTTCTCATGCATCTTGTATTTTGTGTATTGCTTCAGACTACTGGTCAACTTTCAGTAGTCATCTATAATTTCAATAATTTCTTGAAATGTGATGTGATCGAAGTTTGTTAAATGTGCGATGTTCCTGTACATTCTTACACATGTTCATAATTTAATGGTATGAATTGTAATATTTACTGGGATTACCCATTTCCAACCATCGCCTAAATTTTATTCAGCTTTCAGCATTTTTCAGTGTTTGTATGAAGACAACAGCTTGGATAATTTTGTGTACTTATTCCTCGTTATATTAATATATTCATTTTGAATGGTATATAAATCATTTACTTACATTATATATTTATGTTTAGTGGTTATCACTTCATTATTGATTGTTTACAGCGAAGACCTAAGAACTATCTGTGTGGTAGAGTTTTGATGGTGATTCCTAGCTTTCTCTTCTGTTGGCAATATCAGGATATTTGGTCATTTTACGAATTTTTCTTTCAGCTCAAATATACACTTAACAGTTAACACTTCTTGTCGTCAGCCGAATGTCACGAAATTATTTCATTTACTAAATACCAGCAATCATCAGTCTACTTTAGATTTGTTTTTTTATGAGGGGAGTACTTCTCAAAAACTTCGCCTTGACACGTAGGGGACACTGGTGCTTCTGCCAGTCCTCACTCGAATAATAGAGGAAGGTTATGCATGAGGTGGTGTTGCCTTTCAAGTAATTTGCGCTACACTGATTTAGAAATAATTCCAAATGTGAACTAATCAATGATTGATGAGTGCGTAGATAACCTGGCTCTTCCATCGCACACGCAACAACACATGCAAGAGAAGACGACCAGTGTAGCAGCAGCCTCTGGAGCAGTTCGTCTCAACATACATAAAGGGAAAAGCAAAATTCTCCGATGCAACACAACATGCACCAACCAAATCAATCTTGATGGAGATGCCTTGGAGGAAGTTAACTCCTTTACGTATCTGGGAAGCATCATCGACAATCAGGGTGGATCCGATGCAGGTGTGAGGGCGCGGATTGGTAAAGCAAGGGCTGCATTTCTACAGTTGAAAAATATCTGGAACTCAGGACAACTATCAACAAATACCAAAATCAGAATTTTCAATACAACTTTCAAGATAGTCCTATTTTATGTGGCGAAAACTTGGAAAACTACGAAAGGCATCATCCAGAAGATAAAAGTATTGATTAACAGTTGTCTACGCAGAATGCTTCGGATTCGTTGTCCAGACACAATCAAAAATAACATACTGTGGGAAATAACAAACCAGATTCCAGCGAAGCAGGAAATCAGGAAGAAGTGGCGGAAGTGGTTATGACACACGTTGAGGAATACACAAACTGTGTCACAGGTCAACCCCTCACTTGGAATCCTAAAGGTGAAAGAAAATGTGGAAGACTCAAGATCATATTACACTAAGAAATTTTGATAGACATGAGAAGAATGAACAACAGTTGAACGGAACTAGGAAGGAACACCGAGAACAGAGTAGGTTGGAGAATGCTGTTCTGCAGTCTATGCTTTACTAGGGGAAACAGGTGGAAGTGAGTGAGTAAGTAAGTACAACTCGTTCTCAGATAATATGGCAAAAATTTTCCTGATTAAATATATGATATATATAAGATATATGAAAGCTAGTCTGATTGCTAGCCTTAAGAAACATTCAAATTACAATTCAGGAGTGTATACTTAAAAAGTTTCACATTTAAGAGTGTATTTCTAGCCTAACAAAACTTGCGCCTATTATTTAACTACATTTTGTATGATGTCAAACATTATACAATAATATAACAAAACTCATGATTTTATTATTTTAGATTCTGTGTTTAACGTTCAAAAGTATATGTCTGATAAACAGGAAGTGTTCAAAGTCTACACATATGATCTCAGCTAGACATTATTGATTATCTATATGAATGAAAACAGATGTATCAGAAGTGTGACCTTGGATTATAAGTGATCTAGTACACATTCATATCGGTATTTTATTGACCTCATACATCTATATAAATTTGATGTACATATTAATTGTGTTATCACAAAATGTATATCGTAGTGATTGTTCAACTGTTTATTAACTTGAATTATGTTAGAACTTGGAATGTGTACGGATATCTAGACTCACAGGTACCAGAACAAGTGCATATTGCTTTAGGAGGTAAGTACAGTATTTGTTGAATTGCAATCTATCTTCCAATCAATTTCATAATACCCTGATCTCAAATTAAATGTCTTAAACTGAAAGAAGTCTGATCACATGATAGAATTAAAAATTGAATACCAAGTTTAAAAAGGTCAATTTTTCTTATGATCATGTTAGATAATATTGAGGTATATTTATTCTGTATATCAAGTGAGTTAGGTTACTCAATCAACGCACAATATCAACATGAAATATAGTATAAAAGCTGTCAAAATCAATTTAGCGTTTAATCTGATACATATTCAAGTGTCATTTCAAACATTAGAACATAATTTGTGGAGAAAGGTATATTCACGCATATTTAGGTAGAACAATAAACACATTGACCATTAGGTTTAACATAAAACGACCTTGGGAATGTAATTATATTTAAAACAAACAAATGCAATTCAATAGTTATTTGATAAAACGTTCGAGATGATAACAGGTTCTTACTATAAAGTTTTACTAAATACCTCAGCCTAAAAATGTTCTGCCATAAGTAGCATTATCAATGAATGAAATTCATTTAGCTTCCTAATCATCCGGGATCTGACTCCAATTCGGAAAGACAATAGAATGCTAAGCTAAGCAAGGTAAAGCGGATAAGGCAAGTGGGCCAACTCCATGTAATGATACAGGACTGAGTATTTATTGTCAGACAAAAATAAGCTAGACATGTGACAAGTGAGGCAAGCATTGGACATACAAATTGAAGTAAAAACAACCAAGAGTTTAAAAGACTAACTGGCAAAGTCAAAATAGGCTTGAAAACTGATTCACACAGAACATACTATCACGTGATAAAAAAAGTTTTGTAAATTATAAAAGAAATAGTATCACTGAATAATCAGCTAAGAACATTAATATCTTTATAAAAAAGTTTATTTAAACATTAGTAACAATTTTGATCAAGGTAGTGTACACTACATATATTTTTAAAAATTCATTTTCAACCTGCCTAAATGAAAATTTGTGCAAAGAGATCACATAATGCCAATATTTTAAGTAAAATATAAACTGTTATTACTGAGTACTTACTTATTTATTTAAGCCTGTTACCCATTTTATAGAGCATAGACTGCACATACCAGCATTTGCCAACCTACTCTGTCCTGGACCTCACTTTCTTGTTCTATCCAAATGCTGTTTATTCTGTTCATTTTTGTCTCCGATTCTTGTTTTTCATCTTCCTCTTTTCCTTTCGCTTTCCTTATTAGTGAACTAGTGATGTGTTTTTTTATCTCTAATATTTTGCAGAAACCTTAATTTGACTAGAAAAAATAATAAATTCAAACCTTAATATTGATAAATATGGTGTAGATTACTACATTTCGATACAAATGTTTTTTATTATTGTACATACGCAAATGAATTTTTTTCAAAAAGTAGTCAGTCACTTCTATTCATAGTAAAAATCATTTAAAAGTGTTATAGTTGAAGAATGAAACACTTTACTTAACTTTTATGAACATCATCTAACTCCATAGTATGAATTTTGATTTTTGTAAAACTAAACTAATTAACATTATGTAAATATTGGTATTTCTATATTGCAGAAAAACCATCCACTATAAGTATTACATGGGTTACACAAGAAAGTACAAAAATTTCAACTGTACTCTATGGTACTTGGCTGTTAAATATGAAAAGTACCGGTTACATGAAAGAATTTATTGATGGAGGACATGAACAACGCAAAATGTATGTACACAGAGTGATTGTATCCGATTTAATTGGCAACACAGTGTATTGTGAGTTTAATTATGTTTGTATTCATATTTTGTTCACATTGTTATTCTTTCTGAATAGATATTTTTGATTATTATGAATGAATTATACCTGGTAATTTCTTGATTGTTCAAGAGTTTTCTGACTAAGATATCATTAATAGTGTTCAAATTTCAGTGAAATTATGAATTGATTATCGATGGACCACCATTCATTATTGCATTGAAATTCAACAATCTCTGTAACCCTATAGTAAAAAGCATAAAAATGTTCTTACTAACGATTTGGTTCGTGAGGAAATTCTTGGAGTTCTAATGAGAAGGCGTGACCAGTGAAGTTCAACCCTGTCGGGTGTGAGGCAGTTACCTACCTACTGAACACAATGGATGGGGTTGCACAATATTGTATATCTACCCCGTTGGATACCTAATTAGGCGTTCGCGCATGAAACCAAATATCCTGGACTCGATTATTGTGTGCGAGGTAGTGGATGCGCACTACTGAAGAGTTACAAACTGGGGCATAATAGCAGTGCAATGCTTTCAGGTTTTTAATTGCGGTCTTACAATGATCGATTCATGATTTCAATGGAACTCAACAATCTCCATAACTCTCTAATGAAAAGGTGTCTAAATTGCATCTTGTTAGTTGTTCATTTAATTAATGTAGAAATATTACACGATTTAGATTGAAATAATCATGTTTTGTAAATGGGTATTTCTATTTTGACTGACAAATTACACAGAAAATTTCATTTCAATTATATTTAAAATTCCTCTTTTTTGTAACAGTGATTTATCATGTTGCCTGTTCAATAATAAAATATTTCTTGACATTACAGAATACAGAAATGCGACAGTTGACAGAAATCATGACATAATGTTGTATTTTCAGAAATACTAAGTCATCGATTTCTCAGGGTTTCAATATTCAGTTTATAATAGGCCATAAATTGTTTACATTTAGTATTGTGAATTCAGTAATTCGGTTTGGAGCTCTTCTCAAACCTGGGTAAAAGAGAATAGTTGGGTGTGGAGTCAGCAATAAGAACTTGATTTCAAAACGTCAGCCACCTTAAAATCAGTGGAGTTGCACAGTGTTATTTCAAACTAGATGTCATTTCGTGTTTGCGATTTTAAAAAAATGTAATATTCAGATCTCAGATATTCATCAATATGAAACCTTTCTCGTAATGTTAACACTTATTGTCTTTCGTCATTGAGAACTAAAATCAAGAGCATGCACTGTAACTTGGTCTAAAGGACATAACTACTAATAAAGAAACTAAACACATCTAAAAATTCGCCGATCAATGTCCAAGATCTACCAAAGTTCAGAAGCTGTTGGACCATCAGCATCTCTGACAGAAGTTTTAGAGTAGTGAGAGTTAAAATACCACCGTGGGCTCATTTCGTTTTAGGAGAAGGAGAATTGACGATAGTACATATATTATGTCATGATTTGTCCATTTTTCATGCAATTTGCGCTTTCGCAAGTATCGAAAAATTAGCGATCAATTGATCAGTATCTTATTTCACAAGATAATTTAATAACTAACTACGGATGAAGATGTGTAATGGTGTGAAAAATGGAAATTTGTTTGTCTAAATACCACATCACTTTTCAAACCAGTGCTTGCAGGTTAATCGGGTAGCAGTATCAATTGGTAAAGTAAGATAATTTTTTGCAACTTCTCATCTTGTTTTACTCTACAGATTATAAATGTGGTAGTTTAGATGGTTGGTCACCTGTTTTACAATTTCGTGCTCTTCCATCACACCCATATTGGTCGCCTAGACTAGCAGTTTATGGAGATATGGGAGCAGTTGATGCAGTTTCATTGCCTGAATTAATTCATCAAGTCGAAGATCTCGATAGTTACGATATGGTTTTACATGTTGGTGATTTCGCTTATAATATGGATACAGTAAGTAATTCACATTCAACAAATTATTGATAATTTCTGTACACAAGTGTTTGTGACGGTTGATGTATCAGTTCAGAATGATGAGAAAACAAACATTTCCCAGTTTATAATCATTTGAGTAACTGTAATGTATCATGTCCAAATTGTTTAGTGAAGTAATGCTTACATAGAAAATGTTTTCGATCAAAGAATTACACATATTGAACACACTTTTCGAACTTTCGAATCAAACATCATCGCTGCTCATTAGATGCGAAATACTGTTTCTTTTTCATTCGACACAGCCTTTAGATCCTTTCAAGAATCAATTCACAATGACCAGTAATTTTATATAATAGTCGGTGAATTTCAATCACATACTGAAAATTATTACTGATAGATAGTGATTCCAAGACATAAGCTAAAAAGCATAGATGAATCATGTTCTCTTTGAATTTCATTGAATTATATCAATAGTTTCTGTAATACTGAAAACTAACTTACCATAAGTTGTCAATTTTGAAAATAAATTTTTAGGATAATGCAAGAGTTGGTGATCAGTTTATGCGTAATATACAACCGATTGCATCGAAAATTCCTTATATGACATGTGTCGGTAATCATGAAGCTGCTTAGTAAGTTAGTTTTTCCACTATCAAAAAAGAAAATTGAATGACTGTCTTGTATTGATTAAAACCAGTTGTTGTATTGTATTTCAGAGTTTATCACAGGATACACTTGTTATACAAACATGGTGAAGTAAATGAATTATGTCAGTGAATAATGTTGAATTAAATAACTTCTAACTGGATGGACAAATAACTTTCACCACATTAAACAATCTGACAGGAAATTTTCTCCATTTGTCATCACAAATATGAGTGATTAATTAGACTTCACACTGAACAGACGTAATTTAAATTTTTTTCTGTGAACAGTTGATATTTGATCGCAGTTTACTGTTAGGTATTTGTGATTGTTACAAATTAACAAGCTACTTTTTTGTGATGATAATTCATTCAGTTATGTTTGTCATTATAGCGTGAATTGATCAATGTTAGACTAGCATCAGAAACCTGGAAGCTCCAGATGACCGTTTCGTCCCTAACATGGGACTCATCAGCAGTGCGCATCCTGTTACGCATTAATTTATATCTGTTAATGAGTTTTTTTAATAATGTTCAATTATTTTTGGTAATGTTTTATGTCAGCTATATAGCTAGGTAAATAAAAGAAATAGTTGGTATGATGTGTGAATGATTATAACTAGTCAATGAAAAATCAAATAATGATAACAGTGGTCGCTTAAGAAATAAATATATTATTTCCTTATATAACAAAGTGACCCATTATTAAAAAAAAACAAATCTTTGTTTTTCTCAGTAATTTCTCAAATTACAAAGCAAGATTCACAATGCCTGGAGGTGATGGTGAATCACAATTTTACAGGTAAATCAGTATTGTTTTGTAGTAATTCTAAGAACCTATCAATGTACATGAACACATTGTTAATTGTCTATCATTCTGTTTTATTCTTTGACTAATGTTAGAATAAGTGATCGAAATCAGTTTGTTGTATGTGTGTTTTATGGTATAATGCTACTGAAGCAAAACACTTGATTATTATTCAGATGGGATCAGCTGACCCAATCGCCTTATTTCAGGTCACTTAAAGCAACAAGGAAAAATATTGAGGTAAATGAAAAGGACTTTCCTATGTGTATCTTAACGTAACCAGACAAAATAAATAGGCGGAATCTGTGGTGTGTGTACTGATATGTTGAGCCCACATGACTTGTCTTAACTGTTGGACAAACTAATTAGCTTTTACTGACTATTCATACATCTTGTGAACTTGTCAGTTAGTCGCTTTTACCTTTGGTTATTTTTACTTGAGCACATGTGTGCATTTGTTGCTTCGCTCATCACATATCTAGCCTTTTTTCGTCTGACTATAAATACTTAGCCATGCTTCATTTCATTCAGTTGGTTCCCTCGCCTTCTATACATTGCTTCGGTCTAATTTTACGCTTTATATTCTCATGTCTGTCTTCGTAGCTTGTTTAATCGTTCGTCCGAATTGGAGTCAGATCACAGGTCACTAAAAGTCTTTTTGAGATAAAACTGTTACTTAAACTTGTACCCGAAGTTAATATTCTTTTAGTTTATTGCTTAGGCGATTTTCAGTTTGCAGTGAGTTTGTAATTACAATTTTTAAATATAAGTATCCGAAAAAATTATCTCAAAATTTCATTCTTTCTCGAGAGAGATTGTCTTGTTTATTACTAGTTCAGTGGTTCATCTTACCCGTTCGTTTAACGATATTGAATAATTAGCTTCTGAAGTATTCCTAAGAAGTTCAGAGTAAAGATCAGCATTGTAAATGGGAATAAAATTACACTTTGCATAGTTATTGAATTAAATTGATATTCAAAATGAGAACATTCAGCTCTAATGGTTACAATGTTAACTGTTTGTCAAATTAGTTAAATTTCTTATTGCATTTTAATTTCACTTGTGATGAAATATTAGATTATGGATGACCTGTATACTAATTAAAATGTCTGACACTTTTTATGACAATCAAAGTAATCAAACATAAAAAGGTCGATTGATTATTGATTATGAAGTTGTCCGAGTAATCAAATGAACAATGAAGAGGAAGGTCAATAATTTAACCAAATTACTTCTTTTTGGTTGAATCGTCAATAAAGTGATTGATGTCAGATATTGGGTCAAATTGATAGAGATTGAGTTAATGAACCAGCATTGTTCTTGGTAAACATGATAGTCTGTTTTTTACACTATCTATTACATCCTTCAAAATATTTCACATTGCAAGTTCCAATCATATGTTCGCTTAGGATACTGTTAAGTTGTTAATAAAACGTTAATATATTCAAAAATTCACATTGTTTTAAAGGAAACTTTTCATTAAGAAAGACATTTGTAAAACGAATCTTTATGTGTTATTTTCGTCAATAATTTTGAGTTTTGTAAACTTATGACCATGTCAAAATTACTTTCTAAATTAAATGAAATAAATGAAAATGATCAAGTTTATTGTAATAAATACTGATGAAGTTAGTTTCATGTTCCCACATGTAGATTACTATGCCTAATTAAAATGAAAAGACGAACTCGTTAAGCTGCCCTGAGTGTCGACTCTGAAGTTTAATTAGAAATGCTTCATCAACTTTTACACATTAATCTATCAATTATCAATAATTATATTCGATAGTGAACATTGATTGATAAAACAACTACAAACCGTTTCGGTCAATATGAATAGATAATATTTGTGATAAGCTAATTCAACTTCACTAACAATAAAAGTACTGTACATTTCAACCAATACTAAAGATTGGTCACGGATAACTTAAAAGTGACGACAGAATTTTTACATTCTATGACAGGATTTAGAGATGAGACTGACAAAGAACACCTATATAAGATAATCGTCAGACATAATGTTCGACAAACAAATGGGTACTCAGAAATAAATGATACTATTCATTCTGTAGTCAATGTGATCGCTGCTAACATTTGATCGTTTCTTGTAGTGATAGCGTTCTGCAGATTATTAGGCTTCAGTAAAGCCGTGAACTGATCACTGTTAAGCCACCGTTGGAAACCTCGATAGCTGTGACCAGTGGAATTCAACCATGTTGTGTGTGAGGCTGTTACCAACCGTAAACAATAGGTGAAGTCGTCTAGTATCATGAATAGATTAACGTTAGACATATACACCGTTAGATGACGACTTATTGGTCTATAGGTTAAGCATTCGTACGCAAAACCAAAGGTCCTGTATTCGATTTTCGTGCTCACTGCCGATGAGTCTCATACTATGATGAAACAGCCCTCGAGTGCTTCCAGGTTTCCAATAATGGTCTAACACTGATCAGTTCATAATTTCAGTATAATCCTTTGTGGATTGAGATATTTATAGTGATGATATCTAGGCTTGTATTAGATTTCTAGATAACACCTTTGGATAAACATTTAAACAGAACTAATTTCTTGTTTATTTCGTAGCTAATAACATATTTCAGTTATTTTTATTTGCTTTCATAATAGGTTATAACGTGAAAAACCTAATCATGTATTTTATACTCCTTTAGTTTTAACATTGGACCTGCACATATTGTCGCATTCTCTAGTGAATTATATTACTTTTTATTTTATGGATGGAAAACTTTAGTGATGCAATATGATTGGTTAATTAAAGATTTAGAAGTAAGATAAATCGTTGTGTAATTACAAAATATAATTTCTTTTTTTTCGTACGATTTTACTTTTAGAATGTATCCATGAAATAAAACTTGTTTTGTTTTGTAAAATCTAAAAGAAATTCAATGTAGTACCAGTTAATTTATTGACTGACTGAGTTAAAAGTTGTCATCCATGTTTAGAAAATACGGAATTATCTAGAATATTCTAACCTGTTTGTAAATGATAGTTTTCATTCATTGAACCAAAATATCGAAATAGTTGTGATTAAAACAACAACTGTTGACCATATGGGGAATCTTTTTAAACTTTTTCAAATGAGTAAACATTTATTTCATTTATTCTTACATAAAAATAAATAATATTGATTTATCTTATAGCTTATCAATTATTTTATCTAAGATGGCTTTTTAAAAAACTTTCCATTATTGGTTCAAAAAAATCTTGAAATGAAATCATCATTAACTGAATAATGATTTTGTTTTAAATCAAGGAAACATTCAGTTATGGGTACGATATCAGACACATTTTTTATGAAAAAAATTGATACATTTTGAATTGATGAATTCAGTAGGTTAGTGATTAGTTAATGAAATTCCTAATGCACATGTCATTGAATACTGAGTGACCGGGTAGGTAATTAGTTGTATAACATTATACCAAATTACAATGACGAATAAATAACCTAATTTATGATTTAACCTTTTGTTTTAATTTATTTCTATCCATAGAGTTCGTAGTAAGGTTTTGGAACTATGTCAATCAAAAAACCTATGCATTGTAATTAAAGTTTAATGGTCTGAATAAATCGATAAAATATGAATGTATACATCGATAGCTGTTTATTGTTGACTATTGTCCAATGAACTATGAGAAAACGTAGTAGATTTGAAAAAGGTAATACATTCGCTCTATACATTTCGAACAAGCAAGCCACATGTATACTTGTCATGGCATTATTAAATATGAAAACCATTAAAGGTCAGTTCAATAGAAGTTCATTGTCAAATGACTTGACAGGCGTGGAAAATAGAAAACCATGTTCATCAATAGCATAACACATAATCGAATCAGGGCATAGGTCTGACATCAAAACAGCTTTTAAAACGTTCTATAGAAATGGTCATGGATGAATTGATGAGTTTATAGAAGCCTTCGCTATTTGTAAATTCAAACTCTGCTAATGTATACAGAAATGATTTTGTCGTAACCTTGAATAGGCCCTAGTAATCTTTAAGTCATTTTATATGCCTTCTATTCACAATATCTATGTTATGTTAACTGGAGCTTTTATTCAATTGACGTTTATTAATTTTCATATAAAATGCCATGACAAGTGTATATGTTTGATGTATAGCGCGAATACATCACATTATTCAGATCGACTACATCTTCTTATTGCTCTATCTATACAATCTATACAAACAGACTAAGTGTTTGAAACTTTAATATAAGTAGATTAACTATACTACGTACAAATAAGGATAAATTATATGCTATTTCAGATATTTGTGAAATTCAAAGTAAAAGACTAAAATCACAATGTAATCAACAATCATCTTTGACACTCAATAGTTTATCTAATTAATTTTAAATAGGATTAATAAATCAGAATAAATAATAAAATTTTGATTCAATAGTTTGTTGCCTGAAAGAATCACAGTGAATTTTCTAACTACTTAAAATGTGACATCAATATTTTAATCTAAAACAATGAGAAACGTTAAGAATCTGTGAGAATTTATTTATTCACTACGGGGCCCAAAGATCCTAAATTTGATCTTCGGTGGGTCACAGAAGCACACTGACTGCCTAAATTCAATCAGCTCCTGATGTAGACTAAAAAATTTTGAAAATTCAAAAACATGTAGTCTAGTTTCTTCACAATGCTCAAAGCCATTCAGGAATATGAAACATATCATTTGTCTTAGCTTCCTTGCAAAATTGCTAGTCACACAGGAATCAGATATTGATCCTTTAACTTGTTAATTTAAATACTAATTTCTTGCTTGCAGTTACATTTGTGAGAATTTCAAGGTGAAATATTTGTCGGTTACATACATGTTCAATTTTCATGCTTTATTTTCGCTCCGTAATTTTATCTCACTTATTTCTTTCAAGGAAGCAAACAAACCGGAAAATCGAAGAAATCATCCATGGATTATTGTCATAGGTCATAGACCAATGTATTGTTCAAATAATTTCGATCCGATGCATTGTGATTTCGTTCACAATATTATACGCACTGGATTTGATATATCACGTGATCATCACAAGAGCATCTATTTAATGGGATTGGAAAATTTATTTTATAAGTATGGTGTGGATTTAATCATTGCTGGTCATGAACACTCGTATGAAAGATTTTGGCCAGTTTATAATAGAACTGTAAGTGTAATATAATATGCAATATGTTCTATGTAGAGTGATTGAAAATGATGATTGACAGGAAATTCTTGTTCCGAGTTTCGTGTTAGTAAGCAACTATTCTTCAGAATGAGGCTTTGTGGCTTTAAGGGAACTCATATTGACCTTATGTTCGAACTAATTTTCTTGTTCTGAGAATTTATCGTTCAGCTGCTAAAACTAATGACTATATTCCTGGTTTATGGATAGTATTCGATCAGATAATTAAGTTATTATAACTGACGAATCGGTCATTAACAATATATTTAGCTGTTCGAAATGAAATTATTTGTCTATCATATCTATATTATTAAACTACAGTATACAAGTGGAATTCCAAATTCAGTGCACTATTCGCCAGGTTTGGTACTATTAATATGGCACTGTTTCTGAAGATTTAGCACTAAAATATTTCCTAATGTACATGTTTTCAGTAATGTATAAAAATACTTAAATTTGATTGTAATCATAAAATGACCAATGTTCAACCACTATTAAAAACCTGGCGGTTTTTCTTGGTATATTACTCATCATATTGTGCTCACTTGTGAGAAGTTCTAGTAAGGAACCGTGACAGATGTAGGTCAGCCGTGTTAAGTTTGAGGCGGTTACCCACAGAAGACAATCGATGAGGTTTTGCAAGACTCTAGATTAATTGAATTTAAACTATAACACCATTGGATGCCGGCTCAATGGTCATAAGGTTAAGCGTTCACGTGCAAGACCGAAGGCTCTGGATTAAAGTCCCGTGCGAGGAGTCGAGGATGCGCATTACGGATGAGTTTTATTCTAGGGCGAATCGGTCTTTGAGTGCTCCCAGGTTCATGATTTCAATTAGACTTAACAATCTCCAATACCCTATATTGATAATATTTAAATTACCTACAAACTATCTTAAGATTTTCAAATTTTACCCTTCAAAATAGATTAATAAACTACAGAAATAGTTATTTTAAAGTATACGACGAATTTATGTATATCAAACACGTATCAGTTAACTAGAATAAACTGTTTCCATTTTTTTGTCTAATAACTTACAGTGAGGCTCTTTTGATCTCATAACATTGATTACATGCATAACAATGATTGATAAATGATAGATCTTAGATTTCGAATAGTATCAGTGTTGATTTGTACATATTTTAGGTTTGTAATTCTACAACAAGTCAAAATCCATACAAAAATCCAAATGCTCCAGTACATATTGTAAGTGGAGCTGCTGGATCAGATGAAGGTAAAGATGCATTTATTAAAGAAGGAAAACCTTGGTCAGCATTTCGAACAACTGATTATGGATTTACTGTGATCACTATACATAACGTTACACATTTAAAAATTGAACAAATTTCAACGGAAAATGTAAGTATTATTCTGTTATTTGTTTAAAATTTCTTCCTCGAGTTACTATTCATGCTTCCTTTGACCAAACCCGCTAGTCACTTGAAATTTTGGTTGCTTTAACATCAATGCGTCGGTGTCATCATATAAAGTTGGACCACTTGCCTTCTCCGCTTCCCTTCACTTGGCTTGGTTTTCACACTTCGCATTATATGGTTTGTCTACTTGAATGAATGTATGAAATTTGTTCATCCACAGTAAAGTAATGGACTTTTAATAAGCGCCATTTCATAAATGCCGTTCGTCCAAGAAGAGTATGAAAAAAGTAGATGAAAGATTTATTTCATAGAATATTCAATCGTCCGTCCAAAGTGCAGTCACAACCTGGGTTATAAAAATAAAATCTCCAAAACATGTGCGTCATTTTTCATGTCCTGCGGAAGTGAGATGGTAGAAAATCCATTCTCCAAGTGCAGAAAACTAAGCTTACTCAATGCTCTATGAAAAGCAATAGTAGTAATACAAATAATCAACAAAAATATCAATATTGAAGTTTACAAAATCAATAAAATTAATCATTGGAAAATAACATGTTATCATTATTAGTAATATTTTTATATTTAAATACCAATCAGCGTATGCCTACCCAACAACTGCCTCAACGAGCAATGTATTGTGTTACAGGAGCAGGTTGGAAGAAAGCTAAAGGCGACCAAACCAAAACATGACACAAACCCATGAAGTCACTGACAGGTGGACTGAGTCATGTTGGCAGATGTAGGCTAGCTGGTTGGGATTCGCAAAAGGAAAGTAACTGGTGGTTGGAGACCTTGAAAGACATGGCTCAAAATCCTTTTCACTGACTCAGATGCATCAACTACCTGTCTTTTTTGAAATTCTAATCTTCTGAATTCCTCATCACCTCAATATTTCTCTTTCTGAAGTTACCTCACTGGATTCTACTTCTTGAATACTATCGTCGAACCCTAATCTTCTCTACAGCTGCTAGTAATTTTACTACCTCCACCACTATGGGATTTGAACTGATAGTTGCATCTCTGTGCTAATGTGGTATGACAACCTGAACTGATGTACGCACATACGAAGTTCTACGTTGTCGTTGACTGACTAACTGACTGAATCAGAGTTATGGATAATTAACAATTTGATTTCTGATCAGGAACTTTATGAGCATCAAATAAATCTTCAGATTATTTTCTTGATAATAGTTTATGATTTGTAAAGAAATGGTAATCTTACAATTGTTATAATTAAGTAATTTCGAAGGCTCAAAAATCTGATAATCTTAATTTATGATACTTACTTACTTACTTACTTACGCCTGTTACCCCCGATGGCGCATAGGCCGCCCACCAGTTTTCTCCAACCAACTCTGTCATGGGCTTCCGTTTTCCAGTTCTGTCCAATTTTTGTTCATTCCACTCATATCTTTCTCTATTTCACGCCGTAATGTGTTCCTTGTCCTTCCTCTTTTCCTTTTGCTTTGAGGGTTCCATGTGAGGGATTGTCTTGTGACGCACATCGGTGCTTTTCGTAATGTGTCCTACCCACTTCCAACGCTTCATCCTGATTTCCTACTCCACTGGAATCTGGTTTGTTCTCTAGCACAGTAGGTTGTTGCTGCTGGTGTCTGGCCAACGAATCCGAAGGATTTTGCGTAGACAACTGTTCATGAATATTTGTATCTTCTGGATGATGGCTTCGGTAGTTCTCTGAGTTTCCGCTCCATACAGTAGAACTGTCTTGACATTTATATTGAAAATCTTGATTTTGGTTTTGTTTGAAAGTTGTTTGGAGTTCCAGATATTTTGTAATTGTAGAAATGCAGCCCTTGCTTTGACGATCCGCGCCCTCACAACTGCATCGGATCCACCTTGGTTATGGATGATGCCTTCCAGATATATAACGGTGTTAACGTCCTCCCAGGCATCTCCATCAAGAGTGATTTGGTTGGTAGTGAATTTATTTTAACCGATAAAAATCAACTCTGTTTATTTGACCATTTCATATGACAAACGACAAGCTCTAAGACATTATTGATGTCTTTCTGATAAGTAAAAAATTGACTTCCTAACAGTAGAATAAATTTCAAATATTCCATTAGAAAGATAATACAAATCTCGACAAAAATAATGATTTCTGTCTTATTTTGCTCTATATGTTATAGTTGTATTCACTGTTAAATAATTTGTAACTTTAATAAATAAAATAAATCATGCTAAATTTCGCTAACGTTTTTATTTACACTATACTCATATACATCATGAGCTGTTTAAACTAACTACTGAACTATCTAATCAGTAGGCTAATCTCTAAACCTATAGACAATACAGTTAACGAAATAAAACAGTTGAATTTATCTATTTTCCATTGATAAAATATTTTATCGTTTTAACCAAGAATAATTCAGTCTAAATGTAGTTTATAATTAATTTTTATTTTATTTCTTCATAATTTAAAAGGAACGAAAAGGCAGTGTGATTGATTCGTTCGTGATCAACAAAGATCAACATGGAGCAGGTTTATACACCTGTCATAATAACACTTCATTTGATGAGTACAACCGTATACATTTTTAATTGTTCAACTTATCACATGATTCTAAACAATCAGTAAATTATTTAAATTGTCAATTTATAAAGCTACATTTACTGAGGTGTTTTTTCTATCTTTTTATTTTGTCTACTTTATAATATTTCAAATTTTCCAAACATTTTCAATGGAATTAATTTAAGATAATGACAACTTTGAGGTAAGTGGCATGTTCTTACCAATAGAATAAGGAAAAGAATGATTAATGCATATTTTTCTATCTGTTCTTCTTTCTTTGTTGGTTAAACAATGTTTGCGTTGCAGAATAAAAATCGTAAAGCCTTTTTATTCAATTAATCACACACATGAACAATAAATTTAATTTCAAATTCATTTGATGAGCTTTTATATCGTAAATTCAGATACTTTTTGTTCTATTTATTACCTAAGTCAACATGACAAAATATGTTAACTTTATGTGCATTGGAATAAGTAAATTTCCTGCTGATTATAATAAATGCTTTATTAGGTTAAATTCAGTGAATCAAATAGTAAAAAAATCTATTTCTAAAATTTGAAACTATTTAATTTTGTAGTCAGTAGTATAAAACTTTTATTAAAGATTATGGACATGATTATTTTCAGAATGCTTATCATTCCCTAATATAATGATAGCAATGAAGAACGTATCAGTACTTTGTTATCTACAGTTTGTACGATTAAGAAGTAGTGTTAGTAGTAGTACAGTAGTTCTGAAGTTAAGAAATAAATTGTCGGATAGTCAAAATATAGAGGCCATTTGACATGATTGATTCATACGTAGGATTATGATAAATAGTAAATTCAGAGTAAATCGCTGAAACACAGTTAAAACATTAAAAGCCGTGTAAAAATCAAACAGCCGATCGATTCTAATTCTTTCTAACTTGATTTTATTGATATTTTCTCTTGTAGCGAGAGAAATAATTGAAATTAGTTATTTTCAACGTTTTCACTCTCAAGTGTCCCTTGAAAATTTGGCCAGACTCATATTAAATATGGTCCACAAAAGAACTGTTTACAGTCATGCTGAAATTATGATTTTGTTCATAGTCTGATGATGTGTTAATTACTGTGAAATTTGTCCAGATTTCAGTAGTCGCTGTGAATGTATATGGTGTTCTAATCAAAATTTAGCAGGCCGATAAAGTCTATGTGATTATAGTCGAAGTTATATTAATCATTATGATGTTGATAGAAACATACTAGAACGATTAATGATTGAGCTTTTTAGAGTAAAGGCTGACTGAACTAAGATTACGATTGATGTATACATTCTTATGTTATGCACATGTCATAGAAAACAAATCAGTTCAAAGTCCATACCTCGAAAATCTACTCCTGATTATCAAGTCGCTTGAAAAGGAAAAGGTTGTATTAGTTAATCAATGTGTCTCATCCGGCACTAAATTGTCTTTCACACTTTCTATTCAAATTATTTGAAACTGTCTGTATGATCATAGTTTTGGATGTCAGCATCTGCATATCTAATTCCTTTGAAAACAGTAGTATATTCTTAATAAATACATTGGTATATCTGATATCATTCATATGTATTTCATTCATCTCATAAACGTTACATGGGCCGCTCCTTTTTTGGTGATCTATAATGTATAATACTGTAATAACAGACTGTTGACTAAGAATAGCTGAAGTGACAAAAGTTAGTGTATACTGTTATATCATGATGTAAGCGAGTTGTATGAATCTTTAAAAAGTTTAAAATCTGTTTGGAATGAAGATAATCTACATTGGGTTGATGGTGCGATAGTTTGAAGTATTCTAAAAAATTGGACGTTAGGTATCATATATGTTCCGGAACTTCTGTGGTTTGAGTGCATTTACGTGATTCAAGTTCATAAGTCAGGTTGGAAACAATCAAGTTTTACCTAACCAAGTGACCTTAAATTATCACTGAAAGCTAGGAATCTAGGGCTGTTTAGCAGTGCACATACATGAATCTAGAGATGATGGTACCAATGACATTCAGATTTCGTGATGAACACTCAAACTGTATACAACTGAGCCAATGGTTTATATAGTTAACTCGAATCAACCTGGGTTTGATTATCGGCGGAGTTGTAGATACGAAATGCTACGTAGTCATTTAGTGGAACGAGACCTCTGAAAAGTACTTCCAAGCCTTTATTAGTAATCTAAGAAAGATCTTTTTATGATGTAGACCATAAAATTCAACTATCACTATAGAGATGAATTTTTTTTAAACTAATTGTGGTAAATCGTCTATGTATTGTTCAGTTCACAGTCAAACAAACATAGATAATTATATCATGATATCATGATATCAATTAATCAGTGCACATTCAGCCATAGTAGTTTGAAAGATTTTTTTAAAAAATAATACACCATGAGCAACAACCTGTTGTGGGAGGGAGGAAACCAGATTAAAGCTGTGGAAGAAATGAGAAGAAAGCACTGAAAGTGGATTGGACACATGTTGAGGAAAGCACCTACCTGCACCACAAGACAAGCCCAACCTTGTAATTCTCAAGATTAAAAGGAAGGAGGAAAACCAAATTACTCATTACGCTGAAAAATGGAAACATATATGGGAAGAATGAACAGCAGTTGGATACAACTGGAAAGGTAGGTTCAGGACAGAGTAGGTTAGAGAATGCTGGTCATCTGCTCTTCATTCATCGATCACATTTTCCTATCACTACCACACATCAGTGTCACACCATAAAATGTTTTCTCCTCTACCTGTCAACACTTTTATGACAACATAAACCCAAAGATGTGTTTTGATAACTCCGGATCTAATCACTGCAATGATAATTAACAGTTGAAACTATTCAATAATGACATTAATTATTTTTTATTAAAGTTACGAATAAACTACATATTTAAATAAAGATCCTTTTTGGTATTTGTTTTAAGCCTTGAATCGTCTGTCAGACATCATTCTTTCGCTCAATATCTCATGTTTTTGTATAGAAAACCGACCTATATTCATTTCATGTTCCCACAAGGCATAAACACACTGTATGGGTTAGATTTATTACACACACTGCTGATGAGTCCCATACCAGGACAAAACGGCCATCCAGTGCTTCCAGATTTCTAATGGTGGTCTAACAATGATTGACTGGTGATTTCAAATGTGTAAAAACACTAATCTCCATAACTCTAATTAGATTTATTAGTCTGTTTTTGACTGCCTACATTCTTATATAATGATAAAAACTTCAACATATTTGCTCAAGAGTTGTTTTATTTAAATTCTTGCGAAAATATGTAAAATTAATTATAATGTCAGACAGATATATACATATATACGGATTTATTACTGCGTAGTATTGAAATCATTTCATGTAATGCATATTTTTAAATTCTGATTGAAATTTTCAATTTCCAAAAACTAATAACAATCGCACTTATTTTATAGCATATAAGCTACAACAAAATATTGTCTCATTTTGATGGATTGTGTACTCATCCTGTAAAGAATAAACAAAATAACTCATCATTCAAAATTACACATCTTTGAATTAACTAATAAAGAATTACAGTTATTCTCAACTATGAAAATCATTCCATTTGAAAAAAAAAAAACAAAACGTTTGCTATCACGCAAATAACGTTTCTCTATAACGCCATCTGCTTATTTTCACAAGCTCCAAGAAAAAAGACTTATTCTTCCTTGTTTTTCTACATTAATATATTTCATCGTATTGAGTGCCTAGTGTTATTTCAAGAAAAAGTATACTAATAATGTTAGTGAAAATTAAATAAAACGAAATACCAGACCTAGAATATTTCACTAAGGTATCTCTCAATCAATCAATCAATCAATAGCAATGTAGAACTTCGTCCGTACGTACATCAGTTCATGTTGCCATACCATATTAGCACAGAGATGTAATTGTCAGTTCAAATCCCGTAGTAGTAGAGGTAGTAAAGGTATTAGCTGTAGTCAGAGAGGTTAAGATTAGAAGATAATATTCAAGAAGTAGAAATAGACCAGTGAAATAGACTTAGAAATATATAGATAAAAAGATGAAGAAGTAAAAAGTTTAGGATTTGAGAGAACACAAAGACCGACATGACTCAGTCCAGTTGTCAGTGACTTCATGGATTTTGGCCATATTTTGGTTTGGCCGCCCCTTGCTTTCATCCAACCTATTCCTACACCGCACAACAGAACTCGACGAGGCAGTCGGTGGTTAGGCATACGCAGCACATGTTCCAACCACCTCAACTGATGAGGTTTCTATATTTCATCCATTCTTACCTAGCACTAAGGTATCTCTAGGTATCATCTTATTGTAAACGTTCCTCACTGTATGTCATCATTTGATCAGGTTAATGTACAACAAATCTACTCACTACAGATCAGTTATCTTGCTGTATGACTGAGGAAAATTCATCAGTCACATTGCAAATCAATGTTCTTTTTGTCTGCTTAGCCAATATAAACCATGAAAGTTGATGAGATAGATGTCTAATAAGTATTCCCTTTTACTTTTTATTGTTTCAACAAAAAATAATTAATTTACTGAATAATTTATAATTGAACTACTTACAATAAATTTTCATTGAATAAAATTATCAATGAGGAAAGTTTAATGTTATTCTAATATCAGTCTACAAACTATTGCTATATTCTGAACTCTTGATCAAGTAATCTTACTATCTGTTCTTTAAGTGAAAGCTTTTACAAGGCAACGTTCTTGCAAAAACTATTTGCTCAAAAACTAACACTTTTAATGAATGGAGATTGTTTAATTTTAATGAATACGCCTTTGTTAAAGAGAGAAACTGTATATCATGAGTAGAATTCCTAAACTCCAAGGTCATTACATCAGACTACATGAAGACTAATATCCATTTATTAAATAGAATAATTCCAAATTAGATTTATGCACATTTCGTTCTGATATAAATTTGGATCTCACTTTCTGCGAACATAAATCAGTTTATCATTTATGAAACACATCTGAGATGAAGAGGAAATGTAATGATAGTAAGAAAATTATCATCATGTAAGGAACTGCTAGATTACCTGTAAATTTATAAAAATTACTTTTCATTGCCTAGGGAATAAACGAAGAATTAAACAAACTTAAAAAGAAAATGATAAAATTCGGAAAACATTAATCGTAACTTTTAATGTGTTACTACTACTACTACTACTACTACTGTGGTGCTGTGGTGCGAACTACTTATAAGTAGTATATGACGTGAGTGTCAACGTAAAGTCTGGTAGCATAATATGGGGGGAAGATCAAGAAAGGAAGAGTTAGAAAACGATGGAATTTGTATGAAACGCATGAATAGTGACAATGGATTGATGTTTGGCAACAGGAACAGTCCAGTTCCATAGGATGAACTGATCTTTTGCAAATGAACGATTTACGATATGGTTTTCCGATTTTACTGAGCAACTCTGTAATTTTCGTTAAATACAATTCGGTTGCCTCCACCTGTGTTCTCATTCACTACACTACTACTATTAACAATAATAATAATAATGGTTTTATTCAATGATATATGTTTAGTATAATTTGGAATTC